GCTTTTTCAAAAAATAAATTCCGAAGCCCTGACGGGATAACGTGTAGCAGTGCGGTAAAATGAGAGGGGAACATGAGCCTCACCGGTCTGAATGCTACAGGCGTGGTATAACACGATTCTTTGTTCATGGAAGGGCAGTGAATTACTTGCTCGGCATCCAACCATTTGTTGCAAGCGTACTGCAAGCACTAATGCTCGCGCTTCACGTCTATTCGATTGTTGCCTTTGCGGAGCAACGCGAGTCCTATTCAAGGTGGAAACCAAGATATTTGTTGGTTTGTCATTTCGATTATCTTCATTCTGTTCCTTGGATCACGCTATCACAGAATACATCGTTGCAAGGACATTCGGATCAGTTGTCAGCTCATATCCTGGTTCTGCAGCTATTAACGTCCCCTGTTGCTTTGACCAGTATTGCATCGCCTAGTGACCAGCCCACGAATGAATCACCAGCACAACAATTCTCCCAACAATGTCCTCGCCAACGGAGCCTCTTTTTATGCGTTTTTTTTTGCAACTATGCAATGCTGAAACGCATTGTCGAGGGTTGTTTGTCTATGTGCCCTCTGCATCAGTGTGTCCGTCTTCGTGTACGTCTGCACCGAATTTTCATCTCGAGACCTGCAAAAGCTACAAGGTTGAAATTTTGGGAACCTAATCTAAGCATGTAAGAGCCCCTACCTTCAAAATGCTCACAAGTCCCCACGTGCAGCACATGGAAGTTTTTGGCGAGTAGTTTGCTAATTCAAGAACCAGAAAAGCTAGAAGACTGAAGTTTTAGGATGACGTCCCCCGTCCAAGTACAATCTTGGCTTCAAATTTAGCCCCCAGGCGCGCGTGATTCTCACGTACGGGCTCGTGATAGTTTTTGGCTGGCAGGTTGCTAACCCAAGAATCGGAAAAGCTAGAAGGCTAAAATTTTAAGGGGATTTTTTCTAGCAGTTGCGCTGGCCAGTCTCAATTCCCTTAACTAGTAGCATCTACCGGAAAAACAGTGCCGCTAGCAACAAAGACCTGCAAAGAACTGTTTGGAAAATACATTTTCACGCCAGCTGTCGGTGCGCTGACCAGTTATTGCAAATAATAACGGACCTTTACTGTTCTACTTCAGTTCCAGTTTCCTAAAATGCATGTGTTATTGAAGATGCTGATGTTCTTTCTGGTCGGTTCACTCACTTTCTCACTGCTCATTGCCATTGTAACAATTGTTTATTTCGGGAAATTTAATGATTTTCTATCAACTGGAATAGCTCAGGTAACTTTTAACTCATTCTCGAATCTGTTCGTAACCGGTGGCTGTCTCAGTTCGCTATTTTGATAAACCTAGCAGAACTGCACTAATATGTGCTTGCGATTTTTTAGCCGATTTTTCTGCATAGGATATAAATTTGAGTACAAAGTATTTAAAAACCGAGATTTAAAAACAACAGCAATAATAACGATAACAACAACAACAATAATGTCAATAATAATAACAATGATAGTAATAACAATAATAATAATGACAATAGTAATAATAATGAACTAATGGGCAGATGCCAGTAACGCGAAATTAGGTTTCAGCACATGATTGGCTTCAGTGTGTCGCAGTATGATCGTGAGAAAATCCATTGGTTACAAGGATTTTTTGAATGCTGTGGTGTTTTCGGTTATGAGGATTGGCTTTCGCTTACCAATACCAACGAGCTGTTAGATTCGTAAGTTCAGAATGACACTATTGCTTGAGTTTTAAAATTACATTTTTTAGCTATCTTCATGAAAAGCATAAAATGACTGCGAGAGTGGAGAGGAAAGTTAAGTAGTGCAAATTTTGATGAAACTCAGAGCACCGAATCGGAATAAAGAAGTTCCAGTTCAATTTCAGAAATTTGCCCTCTATGCTTTACCTTCTGTGGGAAACAGAGGTACTCGGAAGTAAGCCGAAATGCAGCCTGCGGTGCTGATAATTAAGTATCCCGATAGTATAGGTAAGCTAGAATGACTTAACTGCCAGACGCATGCTAGTGTCAATTTTCGGCCCAGACTTCAAAAAGGCGCCAATTTTTACTGCTCCATATTTGTCAGCTGGGTTCGGTTTTTTATTTTTTTCAGAAAAATCATGCAAAGTAAATTATAAAGTTAAATTTGCAGTAAGCTGATACAGAGCGACAACAGCTCCTGGCGTCACTGCAGCGAAAATGGCTGTTATATGCCGCATTCATGTTGCATGCCCAGTCAGCTACGATGCTCACCTCGGATACTGCTACAAAATCTCACTAAAAATGAAAGGATCGGTGCATTCAAAGCCAAAGAGTGGTTTTATTCCACAGGTAAAATCCCATTTTATCTCACTAGCTACTGAAGAGTCTCCTAGAAGAAGTGTGTTAAAATATAGGGATCAAAGAGAATGAAACAATGTGATATGTGCTTGAGAGGTCACGCGCAAAAGCAGTCTAATGTTTCATCCCTTAGCTGTAAACGCAGATAGACCGATATGCGTCGTAGGGGTGGGAATCATCAGAGCAAGCTCTTCTACTAGCGTTTGCATGATGCAAGTATCACGCACCGCATCTGTCATCGAAATGGGCGAAGTAACAGCTTCGAAGCAGTGCTTGGGTAAAAACCGCGCCAAATTCAGGAAGTCATGGTACTAATATGCATCAAAATCTTTAATTTCAATGTCATTCTAGTTTTTACGTTTTGATGGTTGCTCTATTTTCCAATGTTTTCATCTCGCTCCCAAAGCCTATGAAGGCATAATGGGCAACCGGCGGCGCGCGAGCCGGATGCGACTCGTGGAGGGGATCAGAATGTGATGCCTAACTAGACGAACCGGGAGTTGTATTCTGTCACGC